GAGTGTAGCAAGAACATGGATTCTAGTGTCACACAGAAATGGATCTATAGCCTGTGTGATTTTGGCAGTCACCTGTGAATATGAACGTTCTCATCTGTAAAGTTGGTGTAGTAGCATCTCCTTCTTTATTTGGAGGTGAGCGTCAAATGTCCTCACCTGTGTGAAGCTCCACACAGTGCCTGGCCACCACAGGTGCTTTGCAAGGTCATTTTCCTAGCCGCCATCATCATTCAGAGCTAAGTCTAATGGAGGATTCATCTGTAATGGCCAAAGCCACCTAAAATTACCTAGTAAGCATCAGAAAATAGCCGATATGATATTTATAACTCTAAAAATATCAACAAATGGTCATTAGCAAGGAAATAGAAGAAATTTGATTCTGAAAATAGATGCAATGCATCTCTTTGATTAAATCACATTTCTGCCTTTGGGATTAATTTCTCACAGTTATTATATTATTTTTTCACAGAACCCTTGTTACCAAATAGAATTAAGTTACCCATTTGTTGTGAATACAACTAGAGTCTGCATCGACATGAGTATGTTTTCTACATTTTTGAAATTTAAAAAGTATCCTTATAAATCAACTTTAAATATCATAAAAGTATTTTGTAAATACTTTTCATCCTATAGTCCTGTCATCCCTATAGAACTGTTTTCACTGATTCTTTGTATTTTATCAAGCTTTAAAGAAAAAAAGAATAAATTATTTTTAGGTCATAAAATTAAACTGCATTTATTGTGGAGAAAATTTGGAAAATAACCCCAAAGGTAGAAAAAAGTAAATAAAGATCACAGGTAAGTCAACCATCAAGCTATTACCAACATANTTCTTAGTATAACAATTCTGATATTTTCTGAGGCAATCAATACCTCTGGTTAAAAATGATGAGGCTCACCCTACAGAGATATACAAAATGAAAATTGCACTAATGATTTTAATACTCTCCTTCTTCAGTAGAGTTGCCCAAAACACATCTTGAATGTCACTTTGGGAATTGTCTTCAAAGACAGTTTCCAAGTCCCACAAGAAAATCAGTCATTACTTTTAATTATATCTGATTTATAATTTTTTTAAAAATTGTTTTACCCAACTTGATTAACCATTTTATATGCCACACATGGCTCCAAATGATTTAATCATTTTCAAACTAACAAATACACCCTCAACAAATAATGATTTATCTTTTTTTGGTTATTCAAAACAATCTCTAAAAGAAAAATCTTTTTAAAAATTATAATACATAGGAACAGCTTTTAAAAGTCTTAAATTTCCCCTCCGTTTATATTCAAGTAAATAAAAGTTACTGAATATGAGAGATCAATAATTTTGAATATCATTTTTCCTATATATTAGGTAAACAAAGGCTGGGGATGGAGTCAGTGAAATTGGCATGTTTATAAATGCTAGGATACATTAGTTCACTCATTTTGTATAGTGATTTGTTGCCATGTATTAAGAGCCATGAAATTGTTCCACCTCATGAATGAATAAATTCCATTATCTATAATGTGACAAAAAAAAAATCTAAAATATGGGGATGGGGGTGGAGAACTTCATGCAAAAAAAAATGTAATCATCATCACAGTGGTGTCCATATGGTGAGAATTAGGAAAATTTGCATAACAATGGGGTGATTAAGTCAACAATAATACTTTCTGTAGTGGCTAGTGTTAGGAACCCAGGCAGTTTTGATGGTGTTATGATAATACTATGGACAGAATACTGGAATCTACACCCAGGTCCCGCTTACCACTCTCCCAAGGTAAATAAAAAGGAAGAGAGGAAAATGTTTTTATTATTAGAAACAGGGAACCAGATGGGACCTAGAATCCTGAAAGTCCCCCTCACCACAGCCCCACCACTGCCACCACACTCTCGGAATCCTACAGCACCAGATGGCCCATAGGACAATGAGAAATCAGGAAGGAATGTGACAAAACTGGCATAGGAGACAAGATGGCCTGATGGCCTCCCAGGAGGCACCAGGAAGGAGAAGCTTTAATAGATGATGATAAAGCCCTGCTGGGACGTGTCCAATCAGACCTGTTCCCTTTAGAGAACTGAGGACAGACCTAGGAGAGAGAAGAGAAATCTTCAAATATTGCCTCACCATCTTACAGGATGGTTTTATAAAACAGTGAAGGAGTAAGTTCAACACTAATGATACAATGGTAGTGAAAAATGAATACAAACATGCGGGAAAAAAATAGGAAGATTTGTTTGATGGCTTTTTTCTTTCCATTTAAATTACTTTCATAGTGTAATTGTTTAAAAACTAAATTTTGAAAGAAGCAAAGTTAAAAACACGCAATCTTATCTTTTGAACCTGATAGTGGAAAAGTACACGGGGCTGCTGTGGTTTTCCTGGGCCTCAATCTTGCACACGTCCACAGGCACAAACACACCTCCCCCCCAGCACCACCACCCCCACCACATCCCACCGTTACTGCATCTAACTGCAGTAGCTGTCGCTTATAGAAATGCGAGTAATCCCCCAGAAGTGTATGCCATCCAGTGGTTTTTGGTTATTAAAATCTCTAATATCCTTAGGAAATTGGGTCACTGGGCTTGATGGCTTCACCTTAGATTTACAGTTTTACTTGAAATCTGCATTCTTCCCACTTATAAAAATTGCTTACAAGATATGCCCACTTTAAGACAGACTGCATTCCAAAAATCATACAACCTCTCCTTTACCTGGTCCCTTGTGAACAGAATATATGTTTAAAGAGATGAAAAGCCGTCAATGTGCCAGCGTGAAATACACCTCGCTTCAGATCTCCTGCTCCTTCATTTTCTGCCCAAGATTGCTCATTTTCCCTGGAGCTGGTGTTCGCCCAACGCGTTGCTTGCCGGTATGCTCCCTGAAGATAGCAGAGGCCATCATCCCCCTATAAAGACCAGTGGCATCTGAGGGACACCCCTTAACAACAGCACCTCTGGGGAACCCTACCATACCCTCTATCCTTGTCAGATTATAGAAACCGCTCTGCCTGCCATAAAAATATATGCAAAACTCTCACAGCTAGTCCTTTTCAGATTATGATGCCCTGTTTTTAGGTCTGCCTCATGACAAAGAACTTTTTATCGCCAACCTCGGGTTCACAAAGAAGAAAGAACATATTAATATTCTCTTAGACATTGTCACAATAATTGTTATCAGTATCATCACTATTATCAGTCATTATTTTTCAATGTCATACATATGTATTATACAATATTTATAAAGCTTACATATACCTACAACCTTTTATTCGAGGTTTCATACATGCCCTATGAATTTTATATGCATTAGTTATTCACTGTTTGTATTTTATTATGAGGAAACGAAGGCTCATGAAGGTCACGTGCCTTGCTCAAGGGGACAAAAACCTGGTAAGTGGCCAGACTGGAACTTAAACATAGGTCTGCAAGCTCCAA